GGGGGGAAGCCGGGACCCCCAGGCCCCGGTGTGGGGGGGGGGGCAGCTATAAGGCTCTCAAACTGAGGCCACCAGGTGCTTGCTGCTAGCACTCTGCCCGCACCATGAGTCCCACCAAGAGGCCTCTGCCTCCAGGAAGTCTCCCAGGGTCCCAACCTTCTTACAGACCCAGAACCCGAATCTACAGCTGTGTGGTGGGGGCACCACGTAACGGGCTCTCAGCTTCAGACCACAAAAGGCAGGTCCCTCTGCTTCCTGACTTCACTCAAAGTAATTTAGCAACGGTCTTTTTCTCTCCTGGGAGTAACATAAGTACTCTCATGCATTTCACCTTCTAGTTAAGATCACTGGGTAGGACGTAAGGAAACTGGGTCCAGGTTACTACTCTGCTACTAATTCCTGCAGTGAACAGGTCATGAATTTCTGTGGACCTCAGTGTTCGCATCTGTAAAGGACCACTGGGCTAGGAGGGCCCAGACTTCTTTCTGGCTACAGCCATTGTTATAGTTTTCATGCCTTACTCATGACTTCTGCTGGTTCTAGATTACATGCTTTCGAACATATTAACTGAAACATTATATAAAGTTTGAGAGGGTCTCCAAAGAGTGCCAGGGCCAGGAAGGGTTCCACTAACAGATGTACCTATGGAAAGGGTGAAGCGGCCTTTGTCGGAATATGGATGTAAAGTTCACAAGGTCTGATGGTTTCACAAAGATTTATGGAATGCATAATCTTATCCGTGGTGTGAGCAGATTACAATTGTGTGCTGTAAATGACATTTCACTCAATGATAGACTACACAACTGTGGCCCCATAAAATTATAATGGAGCCCCAAAATTCCAATCACCTAGTGGCACAGTAGCTGCTACAACATCATACTGCATGCATCTTCCTGTTGGTGGTATTAGTGGAAAAAGTCCTGTGCTGCCGGTTATAAAAAAGCACAGCATGTACACTTATGTACAGTACAGAACACCTGACAATAAATAACAATGTTATTGGTTTATTATACTCTATTATTTTATAGTGTATCCATTATTTTTTAAAAAGCTAACTGTAGGGCTGGGGATTTAGCTCAGAGGTTCGGTGGCCTGCCTTGCAAGCGCAAGGACCCGAGTTCAATCCCCAGTACCAAAAAAAAAAAAAAAAAGCTAACTGTAAACAGTAGGCGTTAGGCAGGCGGCGGCCTCAGGCATCTGAGTTTACCACGTACTGTTTGTATCACAAGGCCACGCTGAGCGGCTGACCTATGCCATGCACATGTGTGTAAGGATCTTCCGTGGTGGTCATATAGGATGCAACTGCCTAATGGTGCTGTTCTCAGAATACATCCCTGTCCTGTGAATGTATCAAAGGCGCCAGTGATTTCAGCAGTCAGTACACATTCCAGAGTGAAATGTGCCACTGTAGAGTGCTCTGAGCAACAACCCCACCTCACGCACACTGATCTGCAGAAGTCTGAAGAGCCTGTGGGCATCAGGGTCACACGGTGCATCGCGGCACATGGGAAAGATGCAGCAGGGCAGTGTTAGAGCTGATGTGCCTTCCAGGATAGGTAGGAATTCCAGATGACAGCCACACACTGGACAACAGCCAACCTAGCAAGAGAGTATCACTGTGAGGAGGGGGATGAGGCCACACCAGTTCAAGGTCAGTCAAGGGCAACTTAGCAACATTGTTCCAAAATAAAAAAATAAGGACAGGGGTTTAGCTCAGTGGCACCACACCTGCCTGGCAAGTACAAGGTCCTGAGGTTGATCCCTGACAGCAAAAAACAAATAAACAAATAGGGAGCCAGGAACACAGCTCAGTGGGTAGTGTTTACCTAGCACCCCCAAGGCCCTGGGCTCAAACCCCTATGGGGAGGGAGTATAGAAAGCACATAAGGAAACAGAGAAGGGACAGGATAGGGAAAGTGTGACAGAAAAGAAGGGACTGGGACTGCACCCTGGACCAGAGAACAACTATGAGCTCAGATTCTGGTGCAGTCCTTAAGCTCTGCCTCCCAGATGAGAGCCTCAAGGCTTGACTGCTCCCCACTGTGATCCTTTCAGACATGGCTTGGTCACCCACATGCCTGTCCAGGCCCTTTCTCAAAAAAGGGGCTTGAGGCCAGGGCTTTGCACTGATAAGCTATAGCCCCAGCCTTCTTTTCTATTTTTTTTTTTTTTGGTACCAGAAATCGAACTCAGGTCCTTGCTTTTATGAGGCAGGCAGCGGCACCACTGAACTAAATCCCTGACCCCTTCTTTTCTACTTTTTGACACAGGTCTCACTACACTGCTAAGTTGTCCAGGAAGGGCTTGTACCTTCTTCCACTGCAGTCCTGGGACCAAGAGTGGTCCTTGCATATGCTAGGCAAGCCAACTGCACTGAGTTTCATCCACAGCCTAGCATAGTGCATTTTTTTTTCATACTGGAGATTGAACCCAGGGACTTTGCACTAAGCTATATCCAAGCCCGTTTTATTTCGTATTTTTCAGACAAGGTCTCAAGTTGTCCAGGCTGGGCTACAACTTGCAATTCTTCTGCTTCAGCTTCCAGAGTGCTAAGATTACAGACAAGCACAAAGTAGCACCTTCTTTGTTTTATTTTGTGTATGTGTGTGTGTGTGTGTGTGTGTGGTGTTTTTTGTGTGTTTTATAAGTTCTAGATAATTCTCTGTTGGAAGAATAGCTGGCAGAATTTCTCCTATTGTCTCTTCTCTCATGTTTGCTGAACAGAAACTTTAATTTGAAGTTGCATTTGTTGACTATTATTTCTCACACTACTAGAGACCAATTCAGGCAGCTTTTGCATGTGCCTATGGCTTTATGTGTTTCCCCGGTGTTTTCTTGTGGCAGTTTCAACATTTCAGGTCTTATGCCTAAGTCTTTCATCTGTTTCAAATTGATTTTTGTGCAGAATGAGAGATTGGGATCTAGTTGCAGTCTTCTATATATGGTTATCCATTTCCCCCCAGCGTCATTTGCTAAAAAGGCTCTTTTCTTCAATATACATTTTTTATTCTAGTCTCAATAATCAGATGGCTGTAGTTGTATAGTTTGTTTCTGTGTTCTCTATTTTATTTAATTTGTCTATATATCTATCTTCATGCCAGTACCAAGATGTTTTTGTTACTGTGGCTATGTGATAATTTGAAATTTTGTTTTATTTTGTGTATGTGTGTGTGTGTGTGTGTGTGTGTTTTGTTTTTGGTACCAGGGATTGAACTCAGGACCTTGTGCTTGAGAGGCAGGCGGTGGAACCACTGAGCTAAATCGCCAGCCCTGCACCTTCTTTATTTTAAAATAATCTGGCTCCAAAGAATGCTGCAAAAGAGCTTAATGTTTAGGATTTGGCTCATAAGTCTGTGTTCTTTTTAGTTATGCTATTCATGTAAATTTTGACCATGTCCCTTCTGAAAAGTTATTCTTTCCTTTTTTTCCTCTTTCCTTTTTTGGTGTTTTGAGATTTTGTGTGTGTGTGTGTGTGTGTGTGTGTGTGTGTGTTCTGAGTTTTGAGACAGGGTCTCACTGTAGTTCAGGCTGGCCTCAAATTTGTGACAATTCTCTTGCCTTAGCCTCCTAACTGCTACGATTACAGACATTGCACCACCATGCCCGGCCTGAAAAGTTCCATATTTTTCTGTTCCCAACACCCCTGCAAGCACTTTTACAATTAATCTTGTGTTTCACTCCTTGCAGTTCAGCAATGACCTTTTTTTTTTGGTACTGGGGATTGAACTCGGGTCTTTGCGCTTGCAAGGCAGGCTACCAAACCGCTGAGCTAAATCCCTGGCCCAGCAATGACCTTTATTAGTAGGGCAAAGTAGTATTTTGCAGTGAACTAAAGTGACTGAATTTCTACTTGGCCTTTAGGTCTCTCTTTTTTTGTGTGACATAGTCTAAGTTGCCCATTCTGGACTAGAACTTGTGATCCTCTTGCCTCAGCCTCCAAGCGTGCTGGGATTACAGGTGCACTCTACTGCACACTGGTAGATTTTTCTGTCTGTAGACCACAGGCTACAGCATCATATGCAGGCACTGTCCCTGAAGACACGGAGAGCTCAAGTGGGATGGAGACAAGAGTTGCAAAAGCAGGATTACCCCCAACAAGACTACAGCAAGGTCAGTGGGGGACACTCTGGGACAGTTTCTATAAAGGGCTGGAAGCTCCAAATCAAATCTGCAGAGTATAAAGAGCTCTGATCAGGGCAGTAAGTGTTGGCTTGAGGGTCTATTTTGCTTACAACTGTTGGTCATGTAGATCTTTTGGGTGTAGGGATGTCATACCTGTAGTGCAGGGGGACCAGGTAGAAGTTGGCTAACTGCACAGCAGGCCAGAGCTACAAGAAAACATGGAAGTCAGTTGGCTGCCTCGCTGATCAGGCCTCCAGCCTCAGCACCTTGCCTGGCCCTGCCCTGTTTCTGCACACAGACACAGGCCAAGGGGGAGTGCCCAGACGGGAATGAGAGAGCAATGCCAATGGAGGGATTCCTGTATCAGGAGCACCCAATTAAATCCCAGGCACTTCTGGACTTCAGGAAGCAGGAAAGGTCAGGAGGGGCCAGCTCTTACGTAGTAGTTGGTGATGAGGGCATCAGGATAATCCTGAGGAGACAGAGAAGGAACAAATTCACACCTGCACCACCAAGCAGCTGCCACCTCCAAATGTAAATATCACACATGGACTCCCATTCCAAGAGCACAATGCTGCCCTCCACTCTGCCTGCTGCTCTCCTCTCTGGCCTTAGACTCTCCCTGTACCTCTCTCTGCCTCTGCCGCCCTCCTTCCCCTGGGGTTGCCAGCCTGCTAGCCAGAGACCCACTCACCCGCTGCAGTTTGGCCCAGTTATCCTGGGCTGACAGTCCATTAAGTGTCCCCACCAGTGGCAGGAAGCAGCCTAGGAAACACGGCGCAAAGGCCCCCTAAGAAGAGAAAGTGAAGCTCTGTGAGAATCCCACCGCCTCCAGCCAGGATCGCCCTTCCCCACTCCCTTCCATGTCACTCACCTGGTCCAACAATGTCTTCTTTAGCGCATCCAACTTGGTGGTGCCAGGAATGAGCCGGTCCAAAATCTTATACCAGCCTCCTACTACAGGGCCCTGAAAGTACAGCCCAATATAGGAGCAGGATATAGTGAGAAGCACTTGGCTTTTATATAACAAAGTTCCTCCCCCAAGTACCAGAAACCAAATCTCAGGGAGAGGCAGACACAAGGCAAAGAGAGAGAAGCAGGCTGGCCTAGGTAGGTGAGGCCAATGGAAACTGCAGGACAGCGGTGGATGAAGACCTCAGCCAGGTGCCCAGCCACCCCACGTGGGCAGAACTTACCACAAAGCCACAGCCCAGGAACACCATGGTCCAGGTCCGCTTTGTCTGGTGCCCCTGCAAGCCCCGCCTCTCCACCAGCTGCTGTGAGATAATGTCACCCAGGCCCATCAGAGACCCTGTGCAGGGTACACAGGTGACGTCAGAGCATCTCCCAAAAGGTAAGTTAATGACCAATGAGGCTCCAGCACTCTGAGTGCAGGGCTTCATTGTGGGCAAATGATGATCCTGTTTGCTACCTCAAAACCCTCCTTTCTTCAAGGATAATGACAACTCATGCATGTCCTCTCAGAAACTAGAATGAGCACGCCAGGAACCAAGAACTCTGCATTAAGCAGCAAAGGAGTCAAGACAAAAACTGCAGAGGAAGGAGAACCCCATCTGTCAGGATTACAAGGCCCTACCAGACCATTTCATTCAATCTCCTTAGAGATGCAGACAAAGGTCCAGGATCCTACATAACCGTAGGTGCTGAAATGGACTGTTCCTTATACAATCCCTCCAACAGAGGAACACTGTTTCCTTTCCCACCAACCAGTGTAAGACCCTGGACAAGGTTCTTCACTTTGGTCTTGGGGCCCCCACTTGTGGGGATAACTTTTTTTGGTACCAGGGACTAAACTCAGGACCTTGCACTTGCCCCGCAGGTGTGCAGCACTGAGCTAATTCTCTACCCCTAGCTTTTTCTAAAACTTGAGTGGTCAAAAGGTTCTACAAGGGAAGACACTGGTTGAGCTGGTAAGAATCCTAGCTAGTAGAACAATCAGCCAGAGCTAGACCCCTCCTGTCCAAACCCTCAGACGGAGTTCATGATAAGTATTAGAGCTGACTTCCCTTGAGCTCTGTTCCCGTGTCCCCCAACACTCAGCTCCAAGCAGTCTTAGACACCCACATCCAGGAACCAAGACAGAAATCATCACTATTTAGTTACGGCAGCATGATGGTTTCTAGCAAACCACACATACAGGGCCTCTTGGGAGAAGCCACATAATCTCCGGCTTGCCATCTAGCTCACTGGGTAATGAAAGCCCCTCAAGCCCTGCTGAAGCCACCACTGTCCCTGTGCCCTCAATTAGCACTGGACAAACACATCCTTCAACCCTGTTCTTGGCCTGGAGCTGGCTCTGACGTCCATCTGGCTGCACACTCACTGCTCTGCTCTCCCCCACACCCTTCACCCAGCAAGTCCCGGAGCAGCCTCATCAGAGGTGCTGGGAAGAGCTGGGAGCTGTGGATGGGCACTGGGCAGCTCCAGGTCCACCGATCAAGGTGGCAAAGCCTCACCTCCCACTAACTCCCAAAGGGAGTCTTTCCCCAACACTGTCAGACACAAGCTTCCCAGCGAAAGGGTAGAATCCCATATACTTTTGTTCTTATTCCTTACCACATCTAAGCAAGTCCTCCTCAGGGGACAAAGGAAAAATGTCAAATGGACCACCCCACACAACAGGAGTGCTCTGGAAAAGGCCACTTGGCTTAAGATTCGAAGCTTAGCCTGCAGAACAATGTGTCAAGCTCAGAGTGTTAGGACTATGGGGAACTGAGAGCTTGCTCTCCATGCTAACAGCACTTCATTCCCTATGATCCCCCCACAAAGGTGGGGTCACCATCTGCACACCCAGGGAGGAAAGGAAGCTGCTGCAGCCATACATAAAGAGAGGAGTAGCCCTGACAACACAAAAGGCACTCCCCTTTTCAGTACCTGTGCACTGAGCTATACCTCCAACCCACCTTTTTGTGGGGGGCACTGGGGATCGAACGCAGGACCTTGTGCTTGCAAAGCAGGTGATGCAATCACTGAGCTAAATCCCCAGCCACCACCTCCTTTTTTTAAAAAAAAGACAGTTGCCCAGGCTGGGCTTGAACTTGCAATCCTCCTGCTCAGCCTCCCAGAGTGTTAGGACAACAGGTGTGCACCATTATAGTCAGCAGATGAAAGCACTTCTTAAATGACGGGAGTAAACAGTCTGACAGTTCTTTGGCCAGGTGATTAAAATTTGCAAAGGCCGGGCGTGGTGATACACACCTGTCTGTAAAAGGGGAGGCTGAGGAAAGAGGATTGCCAGGAATTCAAGGCCAGCTTGGGCTACATAGTGAAAACCTGTCTCAAAAAACCAAAGGACTCTCACACATAATCCTCAAAAGGTCTGGGAGGTAGGTGGTCACACCTGTATTGATAAGGACAGTCTTTGAGAGATGAGGTGACTCAGTAGGGAGTGAATGTGGACAAATCCAGGTAGGGAGGCAAGGTGGCCTCGGCACAGGCTGAGGCAGGCTCAGAGGCCAATGGCAAACCAGAGGGTCCTGCATTCCTTTTCTGCAGGGGATTCTGTCCAAGTGAGACCCAAAGGGCCTACCCTTAGGGTTTACATCCGAGGTATCCCCCTAAAAGCCTCATGTGTTTGAAAGGTGGTTAGATTGTGGGGCTTTATACTCATCAGTAGATTCTTTGGCAAATGAGCTTGTAGCTGAATATACGATTAGGAGGTAGGACCTCGCTGGAAGAGGCCCACTGAAGGGCTCTGGGGGGTGTGACCAGAAGGGTGTACCTCCCTCCCTGGCTCTTCCATTCTCTGCTTCCTGGCTTTCACAGCATGAGCAGCTTCTCCTCCGCTCTGCCCCTCTGCTTTGCTGTTTGTGGACAGTGACTGTGAGCCCAAACAAACCTCTCCTCCCTTAAGTTGTGGGTGCTGGGTATTGTGTCTTGGCAGTGAGGAAAGTGACTAAGACACCCACACAGCAAAGATGCTTCCTGAACTAAAGGACTTCTGTCTTTACTCCTCACAATTCCACTAACTCTTTCCTTGTCACCTTGTGGAGAAGGCAGGCAGCAATATTCCTAGGAAACAAGTGTTTTTTCACTCTTCATGATTTGCTAACAATCACACAACAAACAAACGGTAGAGCTGAAATGAAAATCCACGTCCCTGACCCCCATGGTCCTTGAAGCCTGCAGTCATTTAGAAAGATGGATTCTGGACCCCAAACTGAATCCATTATGCCTGAAGGCTACTAAGTGAGAGGGCAGCAGGAGGAGTGGGGGTATGAAGCTCTGTACCTCATGCCAAGTCTGTTCATTTCAGACAAACAGCACCCGTTGTCCACAGACGATCGGGGCCCCTGAACCTACAGCAGCTCCAGGATTGACCCAAGCAAAGAGCCAGGCCTGCATTGTGACCCTTTGAGCCGGAACAACTCATTCAGACTCCTCATCCCACCTTCCCCAATCAAGGGCCCAAGCACAAGCAAACCATCCCAGCCCGAGAGGTCTCCTAGACATGGATGGTCTGAATTTTCTAGGGTTTTGGCTCCCCTCTCTTTGGAAGTTGGGGCTTGGGGCCTGCAGACGCATGATGCCCAGAGTCCTGATGGGGCAGGACAAAGGGCTGCTGGACAGTGATGCCCCAATGTCAGGCTGGGCATGGAGCCCAGCAAGTAGATGCAGGCGTGAGTGTGACATCATGCCCCTGGGTGGATGCCAGTCCTCATGCCGTCACTCCCTGCCAGATGTGGGGGGCAATCCTCTAGACACAGATCTATTTGGGACCATCCTCTGCCCACTAACTGAAAAGCCCCAACTTACACACTTCCGAGACACGATATGAGTGGAAGTAAAATCCATACTCCCCATTTTGATCCTCCACCGACTTTTGTATGGGATATTTGTTGTTGTTTTGTTTTGAGACAGGCCTTACTATGTAGTATGTAGTATGGCCTTGAACTATCAATCTTCCTGCCTCAGACTCCCTGACTTTGAACTCTTGATTGTCCAGCTGTGTAGTCTTAAGTACAAGAAAATGAAGTGTTAACAGAAGATAAGAAGGCAGGGAAGTAGGAATGAAGAGAGGGAAGTGCACCCCTTGAGCACAGAAGGCTGGATGGGCGGGAAGTGATGGTTACTGGCAGGGGGCAGGCAGTGCACTGACTCAGAAGCCTCCCACCACTACCTGCCCGGCTGCAGTAGGGCTTCACCTAGCACAGGGCTTAGGGCGAGCGAAGCCCATCTGGGAGGACAGACCACATCCTCTGAGTAGATCTGAGTGCTCTGCTCACTCCTGCTCTAAACCTGTCATGGTGCTAGAACATAAGGCAAACAGATGGTTCTGCAGCTTGTCAGGCACCTAAGCTCACATCAGAACAAGGGACCATGCTCAGCTCAATTTCAGACTACATCGCTAGTAACCTCGGTTTGCATACCAGCTCTATCAATGACCACTGACAAGAGTCCCCAGTTCCTCTTTCTCTAACAGCAGGCGCTGGATTGGGTGGCCTCTAAGGCCTGTAGACTTCTCACATTCTGGCTTACCTCAGACTCCAGAAAAACCAGTGAATGCAGGAGCTTAGCTGCTCCTACTAGGATCAAGGTGGCCTAAGAGGGAGGGAACTGGGCCCTGGGCCCACTGGAGACTGGAAGGGCCCTGGAGAAAGGAAGAGATAAGGCTGACTCAGGCTCTGCAGAACACACAGCCAACCTTGCCCTGGACTGGCCTGTTCCTGACTTGGGCCTGGCCAAAACTGGTGTATTACACATTTCTGTTGAACCATTTCAGATCCGGATTCACCCACGTCTTGCTCCAGCCATTAATGCAGTTCAACCACCTGGCAGATCCTTGCTTCAGGCTCACGCCAGACCTGGAGCCTCACCACTGACGTCTTCAGTGACTATGACTGTGCAACCTAGCCCTGGAGTGACACTTTGACCAATATGGGATGGGAGCTGGTGGATTCTCTTCTTTTCTCCAGAAATGACTATTCGTCCAGACTCTCCTAAGAAACATTTCAAAGAGGTTCTCAGTCAGTTCCAAGGGACTGAGCTACCAGTAGTCCTTAACACTGGCCTATTTGATAATGTATCTTTACATTGGTTCTCCCTTTTTCCCTCTGTGGGACTATTTCCTAGCCCCTAACCAAGTACCTGCACATAAACTTCATGTTCTGCTTTTTGGAAAAAGAAAAAAACACAATCAAACAAAACCAAGGCTAAGATACTCAGATTTATGGCAAGTGGAATAAAACCAATCCAAACAGAACTATAAGCTGGGCATCATGGCATAGGCCTGTAATCCCAGCACTCAGGAGGCTGAGGCAAGAGGATCGCTATGAGTCTGAGACCAAACAAACAAAAAGAGCCAGGGATTTATCTTAGTGGTTCCACCACCTGCCTTGCAAGTGCAAGGACCCGAGTTCAAGCCCCGGTACCAAAAATAAAAAACAAAAAACTTGTTGGGCTGAGGATTTAGCTCAGTGGTTCTGCTGCCTGCCTCACAAGCGCAAGGTCCTGAGTTTGATCCCTGGTAACAACAACAACGAAAAATAGCTCTTATCCCTGGGCTGCCAATAATCATAGAAAAGGCCAGCCTCTTAAGCTTCCATTATGTATTTAAAAATCAGCCTTATACTGACCCTGTGAGGTCATCTAACAACTCAAGCTCTAAATGAAGACACTGAAGTCCAAAACAGCTTACTGACTGCTGCTGATACAGCTATTAAGTGTTATGCCACTGAGATTCAAATCTTGGTCTAACTCCAATTCTGAAATCTCTGTTCTATTTTCCAGTGTGATGAGCTTCCCCATGGGTCACAACAATTACTGTGCTGGGGTTTAAACCTACTGTGATAAATCCACTGCTTTAATTTATAATTTGGTTTAAATACACTGAGTAGCAGGGAAGGAAAATTCTGAAAGGTTCAGAAAGTCTTATGCTAGCAGGCCACAGGTTGCTTCACAGCTAAGCTGTGCTGAGCACAGCCTCAGGAAGACAGAGGGTGTGGAGCCAAAGGACTCTAGCATGGACAGACCAGAATTCCAGTTCAGCCACTTGTCTAAGGTTGGGCCCCCTTGGAGCTCTAGTTCCTGACTTTGTCAGCTGCAGATCCCGTGGTATCCCTTTCTCTTCTTGATGGCCACAAGGGGGAACCTTCTATCTGGCAGTTGTGGGTCCCGAGGGAATCTGAGGCTGGGCAAATTCCCAGCAGGTCGATTCTCATCACAGCCACACAGTCCAGCATGAGTCACCACACACGCAGCCAGGTGAGTCATGCAGGCTGACGGACATTCTGAGGACAGGACAGGAGGTGTTTGGGCCCAGGAGGCTGAAAAGGGGCCCACGGAGGGGCAGAGGAGTCCATCTCCTAGCCAGCTATGCAGTGAAGTTTCTAGTGCTGATGTAGGTTTATCCCAGTAACAGGGTATCTTTCAGTAGCTCCTCACCACTTCCAACAGCTCTTCTCCAAAGCCCACCGTCCTCATTAGCGTGCTCTTTCCTTCCTTTAAACACAAGTAAGATCCCCTCACAAGCTAATCACTATCGGCACTGCCTGATAGTCACAGGCCTTCTAATCCTTCCCTCCATAAAACTTACCTCTTCACCATCTCCTTGCATTAGCTAACCTGCAAAATGAAGATGGTAATAAATTCAGGGAAATCTCTGGGTTACCTTTGTGAGACTGCTACTCAATCATTAGATTTGGAGTAAAAACTCTTAGTATATAGTTTGGGGATACACACATGGCTAATAAACTGTAAGAAATGCAAAAAATGATGTGAACAAAACTCTAGAAAGTGGTCATCTCTTGGAACATGTGAATTAAGGACTAAAGGGGTCCGAAAGCTGGATACTGACACAATAGTGCTCAGTTTAAACTGCAAATACATGTTTTTATTCTTTTGTCTATTTCTTAACGTAAAATACTAACAAAAATGTATCTGGAATAAGTCTTGATTTCAGCATTTATCAGGTGTGTGA